TCTACTGCCCTCAATGACATCTATGAGGTCATCAGCAGTTGCATCATACCTAAGATGAATATCAGCATTGTGTATCCTGTATTCACTGCATATTGCTTTCACTGTATCAAGATCCAGATGAGTGTTGGCAACTGTTGATGTAAGATTGATCCCACCCTTATCTTTCTTCCGAAATGTCAGATTTGGTGGTTCCTTGTTCAGCCTAATCTCAGTGCAAGAAGGAATAAAAATATTCAATCATTTCGATATAAGGACAAAGGGAAAATACACAACACTAATTCTAGACACAAACCAAAAGAGCCACACAAGTATACTTGATATAAAATATTTGAGGAAGTCTGCAGAAGAATCAAGCATGAATAATTTCAAAGAAAATTTAACAACAGCATAACAAGTTTATAATCTTAATGGAGTAACCTCTCCTCCTAACTCACAATTAGTTCCTAAGCATTACTTCTTGTTCAGCAAGCTGGCAACCTTCACCAAGCTGACATGCTACTTTTCCTAGTACTTCGCAATCAGTGTTTAAGCACTACCATGCTAAGCTAGCTGACACTGTCTGACTTCTACCTAATTCAACATGCTACATTTCCTAGTACACAATTAGTATATACACTATACTCCATGTTAAGCAAGCTCGCAGCCTGGCATAATTCTTCAATGTAATATGTGGCTTCCCTAACCATTTCTGTAATAATTCGATGTTCTTTCCAGTCAATTTCTGGGAAAGCACACAATTAGTTCAGTTGTATGATAAGATATGACTTCACATAGTCATATGTCAATATGATAGGACAGTTTACAAGATCACATTCTAGTATGCATGCTTGTACATATCTACCACAAATTATTTGTTATGAAACAAGGAAATTGTAAAGCAGAAAGCATCCTTCAGCTTATTCTTCAAGGAGTCAAGTTACTAAAGAGAAATTCTCTGTTTATTATCAAACAGCAGATGAAGAAAATGTCAAGTGGCAGAAAGCATCATGAAAGTGTATGGAGTGTATTTGACCAGATGAACAGCAAGATAAGGTATATATGGCACAGCAAAGATGTTACCTTATACCAAATCCCTCAAGCTCTTTCTCAATGAGCCGTTTGTGAGTAATTGGCTTCAGTGCATCCAAAACGATAAGAATACAGTTACATGTGCGAGCAGTACTGATGACCTGAATTCAGACCAGATAGAGTCATGGAATGAAGAAAAATCGGCGAAGGGCATAAGAGGGGGATGGGGTTAAAACAACCAAGAAAACAATACTGAATCAGTGATCAGAAAAAGTTATGCATTACCTGCCTACCCCTACCCTTTCCATCTTTAGCACCCTCAATAATACCAGGAAGATCCAATAACTGCCAAAAAGAGCAAAAAGATATTCTATAATAAGTACAAAAAGGCAAAGGCTTTCATTCCAGATAGAAAATGGTGAGGCAGCCGGAGCTGGAGCATAATCTTCCACAACGTTCATACAGTTATCATGTGGGTCAGTTTCCAATCCATATGAAAAGATGATGAACCTTATTATGCCATGAAAAATTTAGCCCCCGTTTGTCATCCTTGAAACCGGGGAGGAGAGGTAGAAGAGAAAGACCACAAATAAAGGTAAAAACAATTCTATTAATTCACCTCGAGTACAGCCCC